CCCAGCCTTTCAAACCCCGAACGGTAGGAATCCCACTTCAGGACAATCAGAAGGAATTTCAAACCTTCAGCCCGACCCCCAGCACAGACCCCACCCCTCACCTCCGCCCAGGCACCCTGGGAGCGCAAAGCTCCGAGCTTAGAAGTTAGCGGCTCAGGGCTCCTCCGCGAGTCTTGGGTGTCACGCACCCCTTCGGCGCTCTGATGACGCCCTGGGGACCCCTTGTCAGAGAAAAGGTTTTGTTTGTGTGATTTTCAGTCATATATGAAGGAAATGAGAGACTTCAGTTAGAGGTTAGTGAAAAGAAGGATGTCATTGTTTTTCCATCCAATTTCATGGATCTCCTGAAAGCTGGCCACGGATCTTCCCCCACCCACCCCCGCCCCCATCCCCTGATCCAGCCCAACTTCTTCACTTATGGAGGAGCGTAATGACTGCTGGAGGTGTTGAGTGAGTCGGCCCTTGAGGTCGCACATCCCGAAAGAGGCAGAAGCCAAAGGCAGACAGTCGGCATACGGTAGGGCAAGCGGTCAGGCTGGACCCGAGTCTTCGATCCCCTCTTGGCTGCTGCCTCCTAGGGAGTATGAACATATTTTCCATTTCCACCTCAGGAAGCACTAAGAAAAAAAATTCGAAATGTCCCACGTGTGGGGAAGCATTGATATGTTTGGAAAGTGCTTCCCCAAAGGTCTGGCATTGCTGGCTGAAGCGTAGCAAGCAAAGTGTTCGCTGTCGCTGAAAAGTTTATTCCTGACTTGGGTTTAAGAATACTTAGCAGAGTCCTGCCATAGACTTTGTTCCTCATCGAATCCTTCCCAGATTCCTCCCGAATGAGAACGATTACTAGTCATTCCAGCAGCCTCTTCTGTCACTATCGTCTCTCAAGTCCTTCCCAATCTCTGTCTCTCTTTCTCTCTCCTCCCTTTTCTCTTTCTCTCTCCTTCTCTCTTTCTGTCTCTCCTCCCCTTTCCCATCTCTCTCCTCTCTTCTCTCCTCTCTCTTTCTCTCTTTCCCTCTCTCTCTCCCTTCTCTCTTTCTCTTTTCCTCTCTCTCCTTCCCTCTCTCCCCCTCTGTCTTTCTCTCTCTTTCTGTCTCAATGTCTCCCTATCTCTCCCTCTCTCCATTTCTCTTTTTCTCTCCCTCTCTTTCTTGACCTCTTTCAGTCTCTCTATTTCTCTCTTTTTATCCATACTCTCTCTCTTCTTTGCTCTTTCCATCTCTAACTCTACCTCTGTCTCTCTCCCTCATTGTTCTTTTTCTTTCTGTCTCCCTCTCTGTGTGTATCATCTGTTTCTCTGCCTCGTTCTGTCTGTCTCCCTCTCATACACACACACATCTACATACACAATATTTATACAACCATACACACACATAAATCCTCTGCACACATGTAGCAAGAGATGCCTTCATAAAACCATGTAGATGGTTTTTACACAATTGTACCAGCTGAGTGTTTATTTTCCTCTCCCAATTGTCCCCTGGGGTGGCCAGACCAAACAGTTTCACTCCTCCTGCTGCCTCCCCTCCTCCCCCACCTCAGGTTGCCATGATTCAATGGAATCCTCTTTGGGAATTGTCTTTCCTGCCAGCAGCATGTTTTTGTTTACTCTGTCTGATGAATCTTGGTCCTTTCAGAGTGGAATTGATTTGTAGGAACAGCCAAAAGGCCAGCACAAGTCCCAGAAGACCTGGAGAGGAGCAGGTGCAGGTCAAGTTCAAGAGCCCAGAATGAACACTGGAGGATAGTAGGATAAGCTGGGGGAGTAGGGGTGGGGGACTTCTAGGCAGATATATGAGGAGGCAGCAAGGTATAGTGGACAGAGCCCTGAGCTCAGAGCCAAGAAGATCCAGGTTCAAGCCTCACATCTGACAGGTGGCCCTGGACAAGTCTTTTCATGTCTCTAAATAACTTTCCCTGGCTGTAAAATAGAAGGTGAAGTATCTGAAAGCTCAGCAGCCAAGTGGAATTGAGGAAAGAGTGCTGAACTGGAGCCAGGAAGACCTGAGTTCAAATTCTGCCCTAGACAAATAATAGCTCCTCATCTGTTCAATGGAGATAATAATAGCCTTTCCCTCTTGTGAGAATCAAATGCAATCATATGTGTGAAGGGCTTCACAGCCTTTAAAGCACTAGATGAGTGTCATATGTTATCATACATATATGTATATATTTATATACATACACACACACACACATAGATGCACAAAATGCAGTGTGACTTAGTGGAGAGAAGGCCAGCTTCAGAGTCAAGGAAGACCTGGGTTCAGATCCTGATTCTGATACATACAGTATTAGCTTGTGACCACAAACAAGTCACTTAACCTCTCAATGTCCCAGGCAACACTTTAAGACTCTAAAATTGGAGGTGAGTTGTCAAAATGGTACACAGTGGGAATTCCCCATACTCAGGTCTGTCCTGCCTCAGCCTCCCTAAGTAAACACATTCAGTTTATGCATTTATGAACATATGCGTTCATAGACCAGTGCATGTTGACACACAAATACACAGGTGGGAAGACATTCACATTACTCTAACACACAGATACACAAGCATAATCATATACAGACACACATAAATACACATCCACAATCAGTAAATAAACAGCCTCCTGCCTGAGTTCAAACCCTGACTCAGATATTTACTAGGTGTGACCTCTCAGCCTCAGTCTCCCTATCTGTAAAATAGGGATCATTATGGCACTTACCTCCTAGGTTTGTTGTGAAGATGAAATGAGATATTTAATGTAGACCTTAAGTCACTAAATAAATGTTAGCTATGATCACGGTGGTGATGATCCCTTCTAACTCCTGATCTCCATTTCAGGAACAGGGGAGAAACCCGACTTACCTTTCCCCCCTCCCCCACACTCCAACCCCCACCCTTACCAGCTCCAGCAGAAAATGGTGCTTTTTACAATCATCACCTCCCTACTCCATTGTGATCCCTGGGGTCCAGGGCTGCAAAATAAGAGATTTTGATTCCATGACCTCTAAGGTCCTTTCTAGCTCTGATCCTATGAATTAAGGCTATTGGGCTTTCCTGCCTTCCAGTTTTGCCAGAACTCTCTCCACCTGGGACTGGGAGGAAAAATTCACAGGGGATACAACTGTATCCTCTGTTCTGCAAAGAGCAGCAAGTTCTCCTCTTCCCCAACCAGTCTCCATGCTTGGTGCCCAGCATCCCAGAACATTTTTTCCTAGTCTGTTACTTCAGGACCTCACAACTGTCAGCCATCACTTGACATTTCTCAAGACCCCCAAACCAGCAAGCAGGCCCCGATCCTCTTTCCTGTGATGCTAAGGGAGGCCTAGAGGCTGGTTTTTGAGACAGTCTTCATGTCTGGATCAAATGGCCAACACAGCATCTTGATAGGACTGTGGAAGGGAGCAAAAGTCCTCTCCTCTGATTCAGCCCACTATGTCTTAGTCTCCTTTTCCATTAATCAATCCCTATCTCCACACACACACACACACACACACACACACACACACACACACACACCTCCACCCTCCATATTGTCCCTTCTAACCCCAAAGTTGAAATCACTCCCTATTCATATACTCATTTATTTTTTTCCTGGACTTCAGAACTCTCAGCCTTGTTATGTTGTCAGAGCACCTGGGTCCAGATACCAGTTCTGCCACTTACTAACCATTTGACCTTGGCCAAGGTACTCTCTGGGCCTCAGTTTCCCCATCTGTAAAATTAGGAGTTTGGACTAGGAAGTCCCTTTCTAAATCTATGATCCTAAGATTTAAACACACTTTCTGACGCAAAGGAAGATCCTCTCTCCCTCACCCTCCTGACTCGTTCAGAGAAGACAAAGAATCACACTCAGCTGTCACTGGAGTATAGAGGTGAAGAGAGCTGGGTCCCAGTACTGTTCTGGCTCTACTATGGACTTGGTAAGCTACGAACTTGATCCTGGTTTCTAAGTCCCTTTCTTTTCTAGTTCTTTGCTTTCTCATCTGTAAAACCAGAGTTAGACAAGGTAGTTTCCAAAGTCCTTGTCAGCTTAAGGACACTATAATCTATCTATGCTAGCTGGCTCACCTATTTCCTTACATCTAAGGACCCACTCCCCACCCCCATTTTGTCTCTACCTGCAGGAGTGCGGACAAAAGCTCTGAGTTGGCTAAACTGTGACATGAGGAGAGGCCATGGGGTCCATTGGAATGAATACTGGATTCGGATGCAGTGGACCAGGGTCTAAATCTCACTGTCAGTTGTATCAGTGCCTCACTTTCCTCATCTGTAAGATGAGGGTGTTGGACCAGATGACCTCTGAGAGATCTTCCAGCTTCAAATCTCTGATCCTATCACCTGCAGGTCCCAGGACCAGTGGCCTTCCTCTAGCTACTCTGGTTGTTTCCTCCCACTTTTTCAAAGCTCAGGCCCCACTGTCCCCAAGGTAAGTAGAAGGGAGTGTCAGATACTGCCCCCTCCCCCTGCATCTCCCTCCCCCATACACAGTACACAGAATCACATTAATCACTCCTGTAACACAGCTGCCCACACATATACACATATATACACATGAACACGCCTCACTTGTTCAAAATGAGCCTCCATGTCCTGGAAGCCCAGAGGATAACTAGGATCCGACGCAGGGAGCCCAGAAATAAAAACACCAGACTTGCAATAAGGCTTAAAAGAGTCTGAACATCTAAGAAGCATGCAAGACACAGCCCTGCTTACTGAAGGTCAGATGCAGCAGTTCCTAAAGACTCAGGGGAGCAGCCCCCAACAAGAAGCTGTGCAGCTCCATCCCTGAGTCTCAATCACAGTCACCATGTCTGCCCTCAGTCCCCTCTACCACCCTCCCAGAGGGACTCACTCCACCCACCAAGGTCATAGCTTCTCTTTCCCTTCCAAGGCCATCTTGTTATATCTTTGTTGGATGTTCCCAGAGCAGGTAGGTTTTTCCCCAGCACTTGCTGGTTCTACTCTTATTTGAGCAGCTGAGAAAGCATCCCTCTGCATTCCAAGCAGTCCAGTTTAGTGCATGGGCAAAGATTGCTGGCAACCCGGCCCTGGTCCTCGGAGGTACCCAAGCTGCCAGGGAATTGTTCTCGGAGAGGGAGCTCGGAGGTTGTCCACGTACTTTGGATAGCAAGGGGGTTGTTCCCCAAAAGGACAGCTCCCGCTGGAGTGGTAGACAGAGTTGGGAGGGATGGACTCCTCCTTCTGACTTTCCAGTTGGGAGGACAACTGAGTCTCCGGAGAATATTTCAAGTAGAGAGAAGAAGGAGGGTACGGTTGGAAGGGAAGAGCAGCCTCTCTATAACTGTAGTCCACGGGCATCTGGAAGGGCTGTGGGTGACTGTCCCAGACAGCTTTCTCCTCCTGGACTCTGCCATAATGGGGCAGACATTCCTGGTGGCTGCAGGGCCATCGGGCAGCAGAGCCAGAGCGCAGGAACATGGACAGGGAGGTGATCCGGTGGATGGCCCTCCGGAGGGTGGCAATCTTGGACAGTCGCTTGCCGCTGAGGTCATGCTTGAGGGCCAGGCGGAGGGCATTGAAGGCTTGGTTATAATCGAGGATCCTCTTGCGTTCTCGAACGTTAGCAGCGATCCTTCTGGCCTTAGATCTCACAGGCCGGCTCGTATTTCTCACTCTGAGACCTTCAATGTCGCTGGAGTGTTGAGAGGGTCCGCTGTCCTTTAGCTGCACAAAATCCCCTCTGGCATCCCAGAAAACACCTTCCATTTCCTCTTCAGAGCTGTCTGACTCCTTCAAGCTCCTGAGGCCCATTCCTGTCACTGCCCTGGGCATGGTTTGGCTGGGTTCCCCTCCCTTGTTCTCTTAGAAGGGTGAGGGACAAAGCTCTCCTTCCGGGGACTCTGGCAGGCTGGACACTCCTCCCTTCTAGTCAGTCCCTCTTGGGCTGGGCTTTATTACTCCACGTGGCTGCCTTCCCCATCCATCTCCCTCTTAGTTTGCTTTATTATCTGCCCCCAGGTAAGAACACAGAAGAAGCATGCAGAGTCTTGTAATGGACAGACCAGACCAGACCAGACAGGGCTCTGTCTCTGGAGCCCTTCTGGGTGATCTCCCTCAGTCCAAGAAAAACTTTCCTGCCACTCTGAGCACACTGAGCACTTCTCTGTGGTTTCTAGGGCTCTTTTAGGCTGAGGGCTGGGGAAATCTTTTCCCTGTCCTCCAAGATAGGCTCAAATGTCCAACATGTCCAGCCACTTAATGTCCTTCTCTGTCAAACAAAGGGGTGATGAGATGGTCTTTAAGGGTCTCTTCGGCTTTAAATTCTGGGGATCCAAGATCTCCCCTTAGGAGAAAGGAAGAGTCAAAAGGAAATTAACCAACCAATCAATCAATATCTATTACATGCCTACTATGTGTATTAAGTGCCATGGATACAAAGACATGAAACAGTCCCCACAGGGAGCTTACATTTTATCAGGAGACAGGTGTGTATATGTATTTATATAATTATGTACATATTATGTAGGTACATATAGATATATAGATATACACATACAGAGTGAGGCAATAGATTCAAGGTGAAAAATGAGATGCATGTGTGGACATAGCCATTGTGAAAATTGGTTTTGCTTGACTATGAATAGTTGTTAGAAGGGTTTTATTTTTCTTTTTTCCTTTTTCAAGGAGGGGAGGGGGATGAGAGGGAGAGAAATGATCTTGTTAATTGGGGGGGGCAGAGAAAGCACAGAAACCACATTTTGATGTTTAACACAAACAATATTTCTCACTTATATTTTTAAAATAAAAATAAGTATGTGATGGGGGCAGGGGCTGGCGGCTAGGGGATCAGAAAAGTCTTCCCGTACAAGGTGCTGCTTGAACTGAGTCTTGAAGGAAAGTAGAGATTCTAAGAAGCGAAGGTGAGGAGGGAATGCATTCAGGGCAGGGGGCCAGCCTATGCCCATGCTTGGAGATGAAGTGGAACAGTGAGTAGCCAGTGTGACTGAACAGTAGAGTGTGTGGAGTGGGTTAATGTGTAAGAAACTGGAAAGATGGGAAGGGATCAGGTTGTGAAAACCATACAGAGGAGTTTGTATCTGATCCCAAAGGTATTATTGAGTATGGAGGTGACATGTCACACCTGGGCTTTAGGAAAATTACTTTGGCAGCTGAATGAAGGATGGACTGGAGTAGGGAGAGACCAGAGGCAGGAAGCTTCACCAAAAGGCTACTGTCCAGGAGAGAGGTTTGGGGTAAGTGTGGGTAGAGAGAAAGGGATGTATCTGAGAGATGTGGAGAAATGGTGAGATTTGGCAACTGATTGGATATGGGGAGAGAGTTCACAAGAGACAAAATTCACTGAAAGAATAAGCAATAAAACCCACTACCTCAAATGTCTATTCACAAATACCCAAAGTCAGGCAACAAGGAAGATGAATGAGAGGCCCTGAGACAAAGAGACAAATCTGACTTCATGAGCATCGTAGAGACTTAGTAGGATGAAGCCCATGACTGCAATCCGGCTCCAAATAAGTATACCTTGCTCAAAAGAAACAGGATAAATTGAGGGCTGGGGCAACATCACATACTGAGAGGGCATATGCTTGGGAGGAAATCCTAGAACTAGAGATAGGAAGCATGGTGGAGAGCGTTTGGGTGAAGATCAATGGAGGGCGAATTAGAATTGATTTTGTCATTGGAGTAAACTATAAATCACCTGCACAGAAAGAGAAAGCAAATGAGGAGTCTGGGAAACAAAATATATGAATGATAGTGATGTGGGATTTGAATTGCCCAGGCATCTTCTACTAGAGTTCCCTCTCTCCTCTCCTCCTCCTCCTCCTCCTCTTCCTCCTCCTCCTCCTCCTCTTCCTCCTCCTCCTCCTCCTCTTCTCCTTCTCCTCCTCTCTTCCCCTCCCTTCTCCCCCTCCTTCCCTTTTCTCTCCTCCCCTCTCCTCCTTTTCCTCCTCCTCCTCTTTCTTCTTCTTCTTCCTTCTTTTCTTCCCTTCTTCCTTCCTCCATCCCTCCCTTCTTTTCTCTCTCTCTCTTGCTCTTTCTTCCTTTACAGAAATAGACGTAGCTTGGATAGACAGCCCACCTCATAGTCAGGAAATGCTGAGTACAAGTCCGGCCTCTGAAACATATTGCCATGTGACCCTAAGCAAATCATTTAACCTCTCAGCACCCTAGGTCACTCCTTAAGCTATTCTATATTCATAGATAGAGTTTTTTCAAAAGGAAATCCCCATACCAAAGAAATCACAAGTGTGGTTTTAAACACTATATTAATTAAATATAAATTATCATATTGTTGCATTATTTACTTAAAATTAATGTATTCAGTAACAGCAATATTATTTTAAGAGCAACTTTGAGCTCATTTTGACTGTTATAAATACTCGAATTAACTACAAAGGACATGTGAAGATGTTATCTGCATCCAGAGGAAGAACTGATAAATAGAAATAATTATAGAATGATTTTACATATATATATATATACACATATATATATACATGTATGGACATATTTGTGTCTAATGGTAGCCATGTCTAGGGCAGGGTGGGAGGGAAGAAAAAAAAGGGGTAAATTTACATGATAACTTCATTATATATTTGAAAGGAGTAGAGAGTTATACATAATAGATTTGCAATTTCATGCACAATCATCTTCTTTTTTATTATACTGTATTATGGAAATGCTTGTTTTAGTCCATAAATTTAAAATTAAATAAAAATAAAATAAAAACCACTCCGTTTACCAGAGGCAGTCTGGTGGAGTGAGAAGGGAGCGGGCCATGGAGCCAAGAAGACCAAGGTTCTAGTGCCCCTTTTGATGCATCCTGCATACATGGCCCTGGGCATACCACTAACTTCTCAGTCCTTCCAGGCCACTAAGATTGGAAGTTGCACCCCTGCTGCAGCATCCAGGAGTTTGCTCTATAGATGAGTCTACCCCACAGACATCACCAAGGGGAACAAGCCTTGTGAAGGAAGATCCACTCATTCCTACCATCGCCAGCACCAATCACTGACCAATAGCCTCCAAAAGACAGTTGGGAGCCACCCAAGAGCCCGGGGAGTGAGAGCAGCATCACTCACACTGACAACTCCACCTGGTTCCCGAAGGTATAGCCCTGGGAAGCAGCCATGGTGGAAACACAACCTGGTGACTGCTTCTGGGAGTGCTGCAGTTCTCAGGGCCTTGGCAGCCACAGCTACTCAAAACCCAGAAAAGAAAGTCCTCACCACCAAAACCTTGGCACTGTCAGATGGTTCAGTGGCAGCAACTGACATGGTTTTATCAGTGAAGATGACATTAAAAAAGATGCACGACCATTTGTTTTGCTGATGCACCCTAAGGACCGTGGGACTCTTCCACATGACGTGCAGCTGAGCCTCTTGAAGGTGTTGTCTCTCCCAGTTAGAATGGCAGCTCCTTGGGGGCAGGGATTGTCTTGCTTGTCTATTTGTATGCCCAGTGCTGAGCACTTTGCACATAGACCATTTAGTACTACCCCTTCATTTTTTTTGTTTCACCTTAATGTATTTTTATTTTTTTTACATTTATTTATGTATTTTTAGTTTTTAACATTTGCTTTTATGAGATTTTGAGTTTTAAATTTTCTCCCCCTCCTTTCCCTCCTCCCTCCCCAAGACAATATGCAATCTGATATAAACTCTACATGTACAATCATATTAAACATATTTCCACATTAGTCATGTTGTGAAAGAAGAATTGGAACCAAAGGGAAAAATTGCGAGAAAGAAAAGACAAAAAAAACAGAGCAAGAGAGAGAGAAAAAATAGTCTGCTTCCATCTACATTCAGACTCCGTGATTCTTTCTCTGGATGTAGATAGCATTTTCTACCATGAGTCTTTTGGAATTGTCTTAGATTGTGGCATTTTTGAGAAGAGCGAAGTCTATTAAAGTCAGTCATCTCACAATGTTACTGTTACTGTATACAGTGTTCTCCTGGTTCTTCTCTCTTCACTCAGCATCTGTTCATGCAAGTCTTTCCAGGTTTTTCTGAAGTCTGCCTGCTCATCATCTTATAGCACAATAGTATTCCATCACATTCATATACCACAACTTGCTCAGCCATTCCCCAATTGATGGACATCCTCTCAATTTCCAATTCTTGGCCACCACAGGAAGAGCTGCTATAAATATTTTTGCACATATGGGTCCCTTTCTCATTTTTATGATCTCTTTGCAACCCCTTCATTTTACAGATGAGGAGCCTGAGGCTCTGAGAGGCTAAGTGATTGCCCAAGGTCACACTCAGGTTTGATAATCTTCAGAGGTGTGATTTGGGTCCGAGGAGGAAACTGAGGCTGGGGTGGGGGGGGGGTGATGATGTTCCCAAGGCTACACAAATGTTAAAAGATAGAGCCTGGATTCAACCCAAGGTCTTACTTCAAAATAAGGGCAGAGGTTGGACTGGGGCCTGGATCTCCTGACTCCCAGGCTAGGACCCTTCTACTCCACTGGAATGTCAGCTAAGGGCAGCCTTTGGACCTCCCTGAAATGGATGGGACCTTTTCCTCTCCCAAGGGGAAGGAGACATCCCATCCCAGGCCCCATCCTTCCCTCCCCCTCTTGGGGCTGACCACACAAGCAAAGGGGTGGAATTTGCTGGAGGCAAAGTGGAAGAGGAGGAAGGAAAGGAGGAGGAGAAGGGAGAGGAAGAGAAAGAAAAAGAAGAGGAGGAAGAGAAAGAGGATAAGGAGAAAGAAAAAGAGAAAGAGGAGGAGAAACTGGCCCAGACAGGGATAAAAACGAAAAGAAAATGCAGCTTCCAGAGACCTTCCTGTCCCTCTGTGCCCCC